ATGGGGTCTCACAAAAATATTAAGCAGCACAACTGTTTTCAAAATTGATACTAATAAGAATTTTTTTTCTTGAGAATCAAATGACCATATTAAAAAATAATTTCTGAAGGATCATGTGACACTGAAGACCAAATTAGCAACTGCTAAACATTCAGCTTCATCACCACAGGAATACATTACATTTTAAATGTTATAAAAATTAAATAAAATATATTAAGTTGTAATTATTTCACAATAATTATGTTTTTACTGCAGTTTCATAAGAGACTATGAAAGTGCTTTCAGTGCTCTAGCACTGCCATTACATTATTATTGAGTACTGTGCTCTTGCTGGGTCAGATTGATATGAGTGGAGCCTGACTCTGCCTGTAACAAATCATAATGATGTTAAACGAATGTTCAGTGTGTGTTTTGTCTTAATGTATGGCTGCTTAGCCTCAAGAGCTCTGAGGCTTTTGTAATAAGCTCTGCTAGCTTGAAATCTATCCTGGAGGGCACACCACAAGTCTGCACTAATCGGGGAGAGATGTATAGCTGTCAGTCAAACTCAAAACTGTTGCCCAGGATAACTGGATTCCGTCAGGTTCAACTCTACCCAAGGTCACAATAAAATTTTGTGGCTTTTGATGCGACACACTGTTTAACCCCTGAAATCGGCCACCTCTGGTAAGCTCTTATAACAGTGTAAACACAGAGATGCTTATCTCGCTGCTGCTACTGATGGCTTTAACTGTCTCCAGGAGTCCATTTAAGCACTGTGGTGCTGCTTTCGGCCCATCTCACTGATTACATTTCCCTGCAGTACGGCTTCCTGTCATGCTGGACGGACTTAAGAAATATTAATGGGCTCCATTGGGTAGATTGCTTTTGTGGGAGAGCAGGGGGTCTGCTCCAAACTGTCACTCTGGCTAATTTCATTGCCTGGCCTTTTAGCCCATGGCAATGACAGAGCCTTGGCCAGAATGCTGTTGTTGTGTAGCTTTGTGTAGCAGAGCAACTGCTCCCTGGTCTCCCTCAGACCCCACCCTCCATATGCCTTAATGGAATCAGTCTGCCAGAACAGAGTTCATTCGCTTCAGATTGTATTTTAAAAAATGAAATACTTGTCTGAATATGTTGATGTTTCTGTTTTTAGAATTACAAGTAACATCACAAATTGGCTTTCATATCACAGTTATTCAAACATTTTAGTCATATATAATACAATTCATAGCAATCAATAATTCGGGCTGACAAGCAATTCACATTTTTTATCTAATTACATGATGTGCCGATTAATTCCGATCTAATTCATCGCAAATTAATGACACATCAAACTTGGCTGAGAAATTACCCCCAAAAGATAATGTTATTATTGTGTGAAATGAGAAGGCATCAAATATATATTATAAAAAGTAGTTTAAGAAAGTAATGTTTTATTAGATTCAGCATAGCATTTATTACACACACGGTTTGGCCAAGTTTTTATTTTTTTTTATTTTTTTTATTTTTTTATAATAATCTGAATTGGTATTTAGATATGTTTACAGAAAAAAATGGTAACCAACATTCCTTAAAATGTATTTTATGTTCTCAAAAAGAAAGTCAGACAGGTTTGAAAAGAGACTATCCACAAAATATGAAATAATTTTTCTTGAATGAAGTGATACTCTAAATAAGAAACTAAAACTGCCAGTGGTGGCGGTAAATGTCTAAAGTAATTGACTCATTCGTTCATTCATTCATTCATTCGATTCGTTCAAACGACTGATTCTTTCATGGATGAAGTAAATGGCTCTCTTTATGAATGTGCCATATAATCCGTTCACCCAATTGATTCGCTCGAAATGCGGATTAATTCAAAAACTAAACACCACTGTGTGTTTGGAGATTCACAGCAATTCCTCTTCTCTGGCTTTAAAGGCATATTTTTGTTGGCAAAATCAAGCAAAAACAGACAATATTGTGTATAAAATATAACACAGTATTAACTTATTAACTTTAATCATATAGGGTATATTTTCCCCTTGATATCTTGAATTTAAGGGGCATTCTAACTGCGTCTTCCACCAATTAACTGTATAAAATGTAAAATGACCTACGCAGATCTGGGGCGGGACGTGTGCATTAAATGCCTTAAATAATTTTATTTGCATTATTTTTCCATATCTAATTGATAAAAATGACACATTAAATGTCGATTAACCTGTCATTAAATAAACAACCACAACAACAATTAGGAAATAGGAAAAGGGCATCCGTAAGGGATCCAAAGACAACTTCAGTGATTATACTGTAAGAAGAGTGAACTCCAAACTTCTCGCTTCTGTTTTAGAGACAAACAAAACTTAGGCTGTACACTGATGTCCCAAAAGTAGTTCAAAAAGTACTGCTTATGCTCGGTAGACAGCTTACAAAGTTTTGAAACCCAGCCTTAGTCTGGCTTTGTCGTATTTTTTTCTACGTTCAGAGCGGATCTGTAGATAATAGGCATGAACATTTCTATGGCACGCTCTCACTCCTGTCACAGTTCTCCTGAACACTATCACACATACATACCATCCAGATATCAGGCAGGACTGGTTTGCTCCACAACTAATCAGATTTGGCAACGAGTGTAGGTTCTCACTTCATCTTACACCCAAGCTAACAAGGTTTAGTCCATCTACAGTGCTTGAAGGCTGATGCATCCCGAGTTGGGTCAGAGCAGTGGAAATGCACTGATGAGCACTTCAGGCTTGTTATGGAGAGAGAGAGAGAGAGAGGGAGAGGAGAGGCTCCAGAGGTCAAGAGAGAGGGAGAGATGCACTTTTTCTGACAGCACAGAGGGAAAGTGATTTCAAGTTGACATGAAAAGCAGGAAAAGCTGCCATGAACCCTCTAGGCATATCAGGTTTGTATCGGTGGAGTTGGTAATTAAAAAGTAGGCTCATGTTTTGCTAAGGCTGCACTTTGAGAAGTTGCTGTATTCATATTCTGCAGATGGGTCAGGGGGGCGTGAAGGTTCCCTGGCTCAGTCCTCCACCGGTGTGGGGAGACAGATGTCTCATAGACACGCTCTGAATACAGTTACAGCTCGATCACTCTCTCATATTCTTTATCCTCTACGAATTTTACATGCTTTTTCTCCTCTGGTCGGTACAATATTGCATTTGTCTGGTCTATTCTTTCTCCACTTCTGTCAAATATCCCTGCAGTAATAAGAGCTGGTTTCAGTGTGAGGCTGAAGGATTTTTTTTTTATTAGTGCACTTGAAATGCTCTTTCACCAGAGATTGTACTAAGAAGAGACTCATTCTCTGAACGAACATGTCTTTAGCATTCCATTGACAGCCGCAATTGAAATCATAGCTATCATATTTGAGAAAATGATATGTATCATGATATATAAACTAATTAAAAACATTTATTTTGATCTTGACAAGACTTAATTATATATATATATATATAATATATATAGTATATATTTATATATCACATATATATATATATATATATATTTTATATATTTTTAAATCTTTATTTTTTTTTTTAATAAAGATTTTGAGATTACATTTTTGGAAAAAAAAGATAATAGATAATTATGCATAATATACATGTTATAGTTTTATTTGAATAATAAATATTACACACACACAGCCACAGCCAGCCAAATATACCGTAAAAAATTTAAAGGAATTTTCTGTATTGATTTTTTACTGGTCGTATACACATTTTAATGTATGAATTGCATTTTGTCATGGTTTAGGGCTGAACTGAAAAGGTACTGGTAATTTTCTGGCAGGACATAATCTGTTTTTCTGGGTTATTTTTTTTTCTTACAGCGTACTTGGAAAAGTTCTATTAGTTGCCAAATTTCTGCCAGTTTATAGTTTCAGCTGATGTGTCACCCACCCCTATGTTTCTTTTTCATATATTTTTTTCTAGATGATCATGAGAAACATGGAAATCATCACTTCAAGTTGCTCCTAGTCCTAATATGATGTGCTATATTTAGTTGTATATGCATACAGTATACTTCTGACTTGAAGACTGCTGTTTTTTAAAGTGACAGCTAAGCCAAATGAAAGGAAATATGGTGTCAAGAGAAAGTACTCATTACCAAACGCTTGTGTTGCGTAACTGGATGAGTTGAATCAGTAATCGCAGTGGATCAGTACGCATGTGGCCTCTGCCCATACACCCACATTTTTAATGGATGTTGCGTGTTGCTAACACAGCCCTTAATTAAATGTAACGACTTATCTAAAAGCTATTGTTTGGGGTGGCTCTTTATCTGGTAAGAGTGCTAATACAATGTTCAGAGTTGGTTTTTATAGAAAGATTTAACTCTCCACACATCAAATGAGGTTTTGAAAAGGGGTCCAGGGACCACAAGAGGATTCTAGGGGGGTCTGTTGAAAATCAGAGAGAATTCCTCTGAAGCAATGCTTATTGTGAAAAGCTCTTTACAAATAAATAAAAAATCTGAATTGAATCGAATATAATTAAAAATATTTATATTATATATTTAACATTAATATTTAACTATGAAAGATGGTATGGCCTTATTCTGTGTCTGTCCTCTCTGACCAGATATCAGTTATCTTTTCTTAGTCCAGCTATCAGTAGGCATGCAAGTGCTCTAAGGAAAATCTGGCTGTGTGTAATAATGGTTCACTTTTGCCATCTAGTGGTTTTTAATTAATTAATTTATTTATCTTCAATATGGGAGAAAACAAAACTCATATTGTTGGATGCAAGCCATTATTCCACTCAATAATTATTTGAATTATATATATATATATATATATATAACACAGCCAAATATTTAAAGAAAAGTCTGTTAAGAATTAAATATGCCTGTTTCATTGTGACCCAAGTTGAATTGTGCCACCTGGTGGATGGTTTAGTGTCTGTATGCAATTTAGTTTTCCATGACATCTTGTGCTCAAGTTCACTATCTCTGCTCTTTGCTTTGTGACAAAGACACATTCATTTGATTTACTGTTAATCTTGTGTTCTTCTCTTTCTTTATTTCAGAAGGAGCTGAGTCTTCCCAGAAGAGGCAGTTTGTGAGTACTTGTCTTTTTTTTTTTTTTTTTTTTTTTTTTCTGAATGAGGATAGCAAAACCTGGTCTATTGTGAATAGTCTGACCTTGGGAAATTGTACAAAAAAAAAAAAATGAACAGTGAAAATTGAACAGGATGCTATGCCCATTAAACAAAGAGGTGTGTAGTTATCTTTTAATTGCACTTTAGTATGTACTGTAAGTTACGTAAATCTCTCGCTTAAAGAATAAAGGGAAGACTCTGCGGAAGTCTTCGTTGTTCTACATACCAACTCATTTAGTTATTGTGTAATGATGTTGCAGATACTCCAGATAATTCTGATAAATTCAAATTATTAAATATGACGTATGTTCAGTACAAACACTTCCAATATTGTGAGATCACAATTTATTTTTTTTAAATTGATCACTGAACCACATTTTTTTTTTTAAATTGATCACTGAACCACATGTACAGGATTGTGGATTATCCGACACAGTAAAGGATACATCTATTTTGCCTTCAAAAATAGACCAGATGGCTGCATCTTAGTAGTCAGGATGTAATGCAGTCATTTATCCTACGTGTGTGGATATTGGCTGATAAGGCAGTGTGTTTAATATTTCAGACACTGCTGTATCTGTTGGGTTAGCATTCTTAGATCACAGTGTCAACACTGTTTTTTTTTTGCACATAGACTGGGTCATGGGGGTCGTAGGTGACTGGTAGGGCAGTGACAGGCAGATTACTAGAGGCTTTTTCCGACAGCTGGGCATTTCGGCTCCTTTTCCAGCACACCTATCTATATCTTTCTTTGTATTTATTTTTAACCCACTGCCTGCAAAGAATGTGCTCTTTATACACCCAATCATACAAAGGTGCATTATCAGCATCATGAGAATAGGGGTGAGCAGATAAAAATGTTGATGCAATATAGAGTGCTGCATAGGTTGTGTGTGGGCATACTGTTGTTGTGTTCTTTCTTATGCACACAGGCCAAGGGTTTTGTTTTTCTCATCTTTGTATTGCTCAGAGTGACTGGCAGGGGCAGGAAGAATGTTGGCTATTGTGAGGGTTCACCGAGTTTGTTCCACCCGCCACGGGATTACAGGACTTAATCAAATCAAGCCTTCTATTCAGCCACACTGTTTGTCCGTGAAATCTCATTTTAGCCCTCATTCATTTAGGGTTGTGGTACTTTCTGACTCCCCCCTCGTATCTCCTTACTTTTCATCTCACCTTTTCACTTTCTGATGTGGGAACCCTGTAATGGGGAAATGAAAATTCAAATCTCACCTTCATGTCAATCAAAACCTGTATTACTTACTTTTTTAAGTGGAACCCAAAAGGAGATGTTTAACAAAATGTTCATGCTGCTTTAGGTCATACTGTACAATAAAGCATCTTTTTGCAAACATTTGTCAATCTCAGAAAAAAACAAAGCAGACAAGCACCATAAGATTACCCTTTCACTATAAAAACATTAAACAAATCTAAACTATACATGCATATTAAAAATACTTTAATAAACGATACAAACGTTTAACACTGTTGAATGAAATATCTCAAATGAAATGAAATGAAACATATCTCAAAATTATTTTTTTATACTTCATGCATGTACAATATAATGTTGTGAATGTGATGTCTAAATTCACTTTAATATGCAGATTTTTTTTTATTACAATTTTAAGTTTAAGTTTTTTAATTTATTTAGTTAAAATGTTGTAGAGTTTAATATGTAAAATGATTCATTGATATTGTTACCAAAAATGTAGTATCAGTGCCTCCCTACTTTTATGGTAGTTTTATGACCGTAGTATTTATTTATGTCATTTTTGGAGCTGGTATTGTGCAAATGTCTCCTTTTGTGTTCCACAGAAAATAGCAAGTCATATGGATTTAGAGAGAAATTAGAGTAAAGCATAAGTAAAGTTTCATGTTTAAGTGATCTATCCCTTTTGAGCATACTTGCACAGAGCTGTAGATCATGTGTCAGTGTAATTTGCTTTCCTTTAGCGGTGTGTGTCAGTGTTGAACCAGTCAGGCTTAACTCTCGTGCAGGTGATCCTCTGCTCTTTGATCCTGCCTATTGTCTCCTTGAGGCTACATTTAGCCAGAAGCATTTGTCTGGGAACAGTTGATAGGTCATTGCTGTTCTCTCGCTTCTCAGAACTGTGTATGTGTATACAGAGATGGACCGGTGTGAGGTAGAGGCAACAGCTGCACCTCCCCCAGGGTCTTGTGATATCATAAGAATGCCCTCTCCCCCATTACTCGATGTGTCTCCGTGTCTCTGGCTGTCTTGCCAGCATATGCACCCACTAAAAGTAGAGCTCAGAGGAGAGTGACGCTTCTAATTTGTTTAGGATTTGGATTGTTACACTCTTAACATTCTCTTTTCAGACTGATGTTATGGTACCTTACAGTGCTCAGAAAGACAGAACGCTCCTGGACACTACACAACCAGAGGACTGTCGTTTAACAACAAATAACGTCATGATTGAAGTGGATACTCGCTCTGGCCGCGGACTAGCTAAGACTTGAAGGCACATTGTGATTTGACAGTTGATGTTTGTGATAAGGAGATAAAGGAAGTATGGCTGGAATTGCTGAAACGTTCACAATCAGAGTTGGTAGTTTGGTAACAGACTTTTACACCTCGCAATGTAGTTCTTTTGCGACCTGTCGCTGGACTGTTCCCAGTTGCACTTCTGAGTAAAGGCTTTTTTTTTTTGCTTGTCCATCTATTATACTCATGAACATGAAGAAAAGAAAGGAAAGACTTGGAGCCCCTAACCTACATTTACAGTAAGAGTTTATTTAGATCACAAGTATGAGCTAAGGCTGCACGATTTGAGAAACAAAAATTAACGGGTTTTTTTTTTTTTTTTTTTTTGCTGATAAAAAATTGTGAATGTAATTTGGCAAAGCATTGCGATTTTATATCAATATGACTATAATATATTAATAGTGCTTTGAAAAAAGCTTTGATTCCCCCAAAAAATAAAACTTTGATTCCTCTTATCAATTTCCTTTGTGAGTATTTCAATTTGACTTTAAATAATTCAAGCGTGAGACGACTCTGTTTTCTGTTTTCATGTGTAACAGTATATTGGATCCGTGCAGCTCTTAAAGTGACAGCAGCCTATTATTCTTGCTGCGTCTCTATAATAACAATAATCAAACAACAAAAGACAGATTCACTAGTTTTTGACTGAATAACTTTTTTTAACTGTATTTGTATTGTATATTTTACTTATAAAGTGCAGTGTTATTTTACATTTGATGTACAGTTTCTGTACTTGCAAATCTTAAAACACTTTTGCGATTGAAATTTTTTTTTTACTCTTTCTTTTTTACTTACTGAGTGTTTACTTGCCTTTTAATAATGCTTGCAATATATATATATATATATATATATTTTATGAAGTTAGGCTAGTTTTTTTCTGTGGTATTTTTAAACCACAGGCAAAATTCCTTGAAATTGAAAGACCAAATTGAAATTGAAATTTGGAATTGAAAAGAATTGACAAGCAAAATTGGAATAGGAATCGTTAAAATTCAAACGATACCCAACCCTATTTATTTCAGGAGACCTTTAAGCTTTTCTTTTGTTAATAAGTGCTCCACAGCCAGCGCAGTCTTGGGACGTCTTGTGACCATACGTCAACATCCTCCTTTTTATGGTACCCTTTTAGGGTTGGTTAGATGACATTATAGGATCCTAACCCTACCCCAGACCTAAACCTACCCCTAAACCTACCTCGTCACCTAACCAACGTTAAAGGTAAAGCGTCAGTTGTATGACGGCCCGGGATCGTCATGTAACCGGCGTTTAAGGGTACCCTAAAAAGGCGGATGTTGACGTATGGTCAAAAGACGTCCCAAGACGTCAGTTATATGACTTCTTGGGTTGAGACTGTGTTACCACAGCAGATGCAGAGATGAGTTCATGTTGAGCATCATTTACCGCAAACCGACCCGCTCTGAAATAATGAAACACTGGATCATGAGCTGCTCACTTGTAGAGGAACAGTGCTGTGCTTGCCTCTGAAACATATTGGCGCAATGAGTGCATATACATTTTTTTATTATTATTTATTTTTTTATTAAATTGTAGCATTTGCAATTTGAAAATCGATATTTCCCGATTTTGGTTTTATTTTGAATAATCGTGCAGCCCTAGTATGAGCCAATAAATGTTATTTGTAAATATAACTTTTATTATTTCCTTGGTTTCAAACTTTTACTTGAGTTCAGCTGACTGTCACTCATTTTTGCAATGAATGAACTCCATCGGTTGAGGTTTCTAAACATGACCACAGCATTAGCTTTGCACAAACAGACCGCAGGATCTGACCTCCTTGGCTAGTCTGTCTGGGAACCTGATACCTGCTTTTCCCCTCATGCTCTGAGTGGTGGCTGAATTTCTAGCTCTCATCTCGTTGATTGACAGCCACAGTGCGTAGCTCAGTTTGCAGCCTCAAAAACACAACCCAGCAGAACACCAGAAAGACCCTGGGAAATATAAGTGAAGAGAAGTCTTCACTCAGCAGAGAGTGTGCACGTTTGTGCATGATTTAGTCATGTCAAAAGCCAGCTTATGCCCAGTCAGCTTCTCTTACTTCATTCCGAGAGAACATCTGTGTCTTGGCTGGCTGAAGCAGCTCCCTGTTGCATGAAAACCAAGTTTTAGTCTAGCATGGTGATAAAAAAAAAAAAAAAAAATTAAATGGTCTATACCAGGGATGCCCAACCCTGCTCCTGTCGATCGACTGTCCTGCACAGTTCATCTCCAACTCTAATCAAACACACCTGCTTTTAATTTTAAGTGATCCTAAAGACCTTAATTGGTGTGTTTGATTAGGTTTGGAGATAAACTGTGCAGGACAGTCGATCGGCAGGAGCAGGGTTGGGCACACCTGGTCTATACACTTACAACTGTAGAGTGACCCCTTAATACTTATAACTTATTTTTGATCTCTTTATTTTTTCTAACTTTAAGCTCTGTTAACATTGA